ATGGGTCATGGAGTCAACAGCAAACCCCTGCCTGGCCAAACTGCACAGGTTGCCCAGAAAAAGCTGTGGATGCTCCATCCCTGAAAGTGTTCAGTGCTGGGTTGGGTGGAGCTCAGAGCAACCTGGGCTAGTGGGAGGTGTCCCTGCCCATGGCAGGGGTTGAAACTGAGATGACCTTTAAGGTCCTTCCCAACCCAAACCATTCCATGATTTTTGATTCTCTCTTCCAACCCTGCAGAGTGAGGAGACACCAGCTGGGCCTCCTCTGATCCGTGAGGGGTCCCCACGGAGTACCAGGACCTTAAAATCCCCCTTTCCCCATGGCATGACCCTCTTGCTCCACAGATCATCCCTAGGTGACCTCCTTGTCCTGTAGGATACCCACATTCCCACCTCCCTCCATCCCACGGCTTCCCTTCCTCACAGCACCGTCTCCAACCCCACAGCACCATCTCCTGCCCTCATTCCTTGATCCCAGTGGATCCTGCAGCTCCACAGCTCTGGTCCAACCTCAGGAAGTCAAGGATCAGCATCCAGGAAAGGTTTGGGAAGGGAAGGAAAGGTTTGGGAAAGGAAGGAAAGGAAAGGTTTGGGAAGGGAAGGAAAGGAAAGGTTTAGGAAGGAAAGGAAAATTTTGGGAAGGAAATGTTTGGGAAGAAAAGGATAAAGGAAAGGAAAAAAAAGGGAAGGGAAAGGAAAGGAAAAAGTGAAAGGAAAAAGGGAAAGGAAATGTTTGGGAAGGAAATGTTTGGGAAGAAAAGGAAAAAGGAAAAGGAAAGGAAAAGGGGAAAGGAAAGGGAAAGGAAAAAGGGAAAGGAAATAGGGAAAGGAAAAAGGAAAGGTAAAAAAAGGGAAGGAAAAAGGGAAAGGGAAAGGAAAGAGGAAAAGGAACAGAAAGGGAAAGGAAAAGGGGGTTATCCCAGCCACTGCTTTTGCCACTGGTAGGAGGCAGCTGAGCATGACAGGCCCTGGGGACAGGCAGGGGACAGGCAGGGGACAGGCAGGTCCCTGCTGGTGGCACCTCCTCTCCCAGCCGCTCTTTTCCCGCTGGGAAGATGCTGCGGGGCGGCACCGAGGCAATCCCTGGAGCAGAAGCTCCCTCGGGAATCACCCGCACCTCGCCCCACGTGAGGCCCAAGGGCGAGCAGAGGACGTGGGGGAGGTGACAATTTGGGGCTCGGGGCACCGTCCCACCCCGTGCTGGGCTGGCTCGGGGTGAGGAAGGGCCGGGATGTGGGAAGAGGATCAGGAATGGAGCGACTGTGCCCTCTAGTGCAGCTCGTCCAGGAGACACCTCCGCCTGATCCCGAACCTGCTGCTCCCCTGCAGTGCCTCGACCCTAAAACCCCCAACCCTGACCCCAAACCTCTGCTGGTCCGGGGGCTTCACAGCCCGATGAGGCCCCCACGCGTGTCTGTGATGCCACACGGGAGGGATTTGATGCCCCCGAGCTGCGGAGGCAGCGACAAGAGCGGATTTCTGACCCAGAAGGGACCTCGGAGCAAGAGGGGAACCTTGGAAGGCTCAGGGAGCTCCTTGGGAAAGCTTTTGGGATCGGACCATGGAAAGCTCAGGATGCTCCTTGGGAAAAGTTTTAGGATTGGACCTTGGAAAGCTCAGGGAGCACCTGGGCAAAGGTTTTGGGATCAGATCTTGGAAAGCTCAAAGAGATTCTTGGCAAAGGTTTTGGGATCAGGTTTTGGAAAGCTCAGGGAGCTCCTTAGGGAAGCTTTTGGGATTGGACCTTGGAAAGCTCAGGGAGTACCTTGGCAAAGCTTTTGGGATCAGATCTTGGAAAACTCAGGGAGCTCCTTGGGAAAGCTTTTGGGATCAGACCTTGGAAAGTTCAGGGAGCACATTGGCAAAGGTTTGGGGATTGGACCCTGGAAAGCTCAGGCTGCTCCTTGGAAAAGCTTTTGGGATCAGCCCCAACCCCCCCTGCTGCAGCCCCACAGGGGGATGGGGCCCAGCCTGTAGGAACACGATGGGTGCTCCCAGTGCTTCCAGAATGATCCCACCCCTTCCTTTATGGGATGGGCGGAGTTCGGTGCGAGCTCAGGGTGCTCATCCCCCCAAGGATGCCGCCCCAAAATGCTTGGCTTCACTTCTTGGCCACCTCTCCCCTCAGGACTCTGCAGGGTGTGCGGATTGAAATGACTATTTACGGCATGTTTTGGGGTGTTTTGTTCCCCCAAAGCACCCCAGGGTCAGCTGTGCCCACCCCTGGGTGCCAGCGTGGGGCGATTGTGGGGTGGGGGGACTCGCTGCGGGTGCTGCGGGCCGTGGGTGCGTTGGACAGGGCGCTGCTGCCATCCAGTGGGCTGGAGAGGAGCAGGGAAGCGGGAATCCCGCTCCTTCAAGATGCCTGGGAATGCAGGAGAAATCCTACTCTAACCCTTCTGCTGATCCACGGGCCGGGAGGGGGTGGTTGCTGATGTGATTCCCCAGGAGGAGGGAAATTCAACCTCAGAGGCAGGAAAAGTGGCTGAACCCCCGTGGGTTTGCTGGGGTGGGAGCCTTGGTGGGGTTCCCAGGATGGGGGTTTGTGTCTCAAGAGCCCTAAAAATCATCAGGGAATTTAAAAAAACACCCCATAATCCTCTTTACAACCCCTCTGTGGTCATCAGATGCCCCCAAGAGCTGCATGAACTGGTCCCAATCCAGGATCCCCAATTCCTGAGCCCACCTCCAGCTTCTCTCTGCAGGGGCAGAGACACCTCAAGTTCCTGGTTTGCCTTGGTGGGGTTTTGTGTCTCAAGAGCCCTAAAAATCATCAGGGATTAAAAAAAACCCACCCCAAAATCCTCTTTACAACCCCTCTGTGGTCAGCAGATGCCCCCAAGAGCTGCATGAACTGGTCCCAACCCAGGATCCCCAATTCCCGAGCTCACCTGGAGCTCCTCCCTGCAGGACCAGGGACACCTCAAATTCCTGGTTATTGCAAAGCTCTTTTTGCACCATTTTTCGTGCTTTTATCCCATCTTTGCCCCCCCACCCCCACCCCCAGCCCAGGATCCTCCAGGACCCCTTCACCTCCTGGTCAAGCTGGAGAAGACAAGCACGGAAGGAAGATGCATCTCCCTGGAATTCAGCAGAGGGAAGGAACAGCAGGATCTTGCTGATGGAACAGAAACCTCCTCTGAGAACGTGTCAGAAGAGGGGGAGGTGATCCCAGCTCTGGAGTCACGAGTTTCCCACATCCACTGACCGTGGGTGGGATAAAGGACCTACTGCAGCAGAACTTGCTGTGGGTGGCTTCAAAAACATGCTTGGAGGTCTGGTGGAAGGGGAAACCCCTCAATTTAGCAATTATGTCCAAAAAAAAGCCCTCAAATTCTGTTTTAACCCCGGTTTGGGAGACGAGAGAAAAAGGATCCCACCATCCTTTCATGTCTAAACCTGGTTTTGAAAAGCCCTGACCCCATTTTGGGAGTCCTGGCCTTGGTTCCTTCCCGTTTAAGGGGGTTTGAAGCCACCTCTGTGTCCCTGAGGAGGAGTTACCGTGTCCTGTGGGGTTCCCTGAGTGAGGGGGGTCCCATAATCCAGCCCCACATCCAGAGGTTTGGTTACCATCCCAGGATGGTGGAGGGTGAACCACGGGACCCCCAAGGGAAAAGAGGAGGGATCCCACCCCCAGGGTGATCCCAGGAGGGATTCCACCCCCAGGGTGATCCCAGGAGGGATTCCACCCCCAGGGTGATCCCAGGAGGGATTCCACACCAGCTCCCAACGAGCTCCTCCAGCACGAACAACTCCTGAATTCCCACCATGTGCCCTTCCAAAAACAAAAGGTTTGGAAACCCTTTATGGGGACACCCTCAAAAAAAAAAAAAACCAAACCCCAAATCAAAACATGCTGTGTGAAGCAAAAAATGACTTTTCTTGACCAGCTTCCTATTCTTTTTTTTTTTTTTTCCAGGAGAAAAGGCCCCCTCAGGGCTCCACAGCCTTCACTTCCCACGTTACTTCCACGAAACTTAAGGGACAAAAGCCACCACCTCCCGTTATGGAGAGGGAAAAAACCAGGCTCACCAACGTTAATCTGGATGCTTCAAGACCTTGGTTTGCTCCTACCAGACCCAAAGGATCTCTCCCAACCTCAGCAGCTCCAGATTTATACCCAAACCACCCAAAATCCAACCCCTTTGCAAGGTCAACCACCCGGAGCTCACGACAACGTCGCTGCAAAGTGGCTTTGAATCAGTGCTTTTTTAATCCATAAAAGGTGAGAATCCAGGTACAAATTTAAAAAAAAAACCTCAAAAAAAATTAACATAAACCACCAGAGTTTTTTAGGGAACGATCCAACCCCCACCACACAACCCCACGGAGGGGCCGGGTGGTGGGGGCGGGAACGCGACGGCTTCTCCCGAAGAAATTCCACCTCCAGCTCGGAGACATCGGCGCCTGCAGCACGCTGAGGAGCGTGGGAAGGCGCTGCCAGCGTGGATTTTTAAGGGCAAGGTGGCCTTTTCCACGACCCTCCTCCCCTTCCTCGCCGCCCCCACGCGAGGGGCAGCTGGGATGGTGACGCGGGAAGGCCGACTGCACCAGATGGATCCACAACCCACCTCGGTGATGCCTCAGCCTTTGGAGAGGCCTCTTGGTCAACAACACAGGGCTGCAGACCCTCCTTTAGTTCACAGAACCACGGGACGGGCTGGGAAGGGCTTTAAGGACCATCTCGTTCCACGCCCGCCGTGGGCAGGGGTTGGACCTTCCACCAGACCAGGTCGCTCCAAGCCCTGTCCAAGCTGCTCCTTTTAAGTTCTCCTTAAGCCCTGCCCGACCTGGCCTCGCTCCTTTAGGTTTTCCTTAAATAAAACCAGGGTTAAGAGCTTGGCACAAGGAGGGGTTGAGCCACCCAGAAGAAGTCCCAACCCTGGGGGAGATGTTGGGGTGACAATCCCACCCCACCCCCAAATCCCAACCCGCTACGTTCCCTTCCTCAAACCCGAAATTCCTCCCCACTTCCCAAGTACAAAAATACAACCACGACCTCTCTGACAGGGTATTTTATACCTACCAAGATCATCCAAGCCCTGAAGACCAGACAGAGCCTTCAAGAAAATAAAAAATAATGCCCAAGGTGGAAAGGTGGGGGCTGGAGACAGAAACGTTGCCGATACATCCGAGCGCGGATTCGGAGCCTCCCAGCATTCCCAGGACAATTATCAAGATGCATGGATGCATCAGCCCAGGCTTGGAGTGCTGACAGCACAGCGGGAGGGTATTAGCAACGTGTGCAAGATCTCCAATAGCAGCAGAAATTTAGTAGTTTAATAATCTGGAGGAGTTATCTGCCTGGAATTTTAATCTCCTGCCAGAAGGAAAAAAAAAACCAAACCAAAAAACCAAAACAAAACAAACCACCAACCCAAGGCTCTCAGCTATTAATCTACTCACGGAATATTTAGGCCAATCCACCTCTACTGATTAAAAAAAAAAAAAAAAAAAAAAAAAGCCAGACAACAAATGTTAAGTCTTTCCCTTTTCTTCCAAAGAAGCTGAATGTGCAGCTGGGCTGGATTTGCTGAGCCAACCTGGGGGGGTCATTTAAAAAAACCAAAAAAACACAAACCTACCCTCAAAAAAAAGCACTAAAAATGGTCAAACCACCCTAATTTTACCCAATTTCACTGGGAGATCTCTAAGGGGTGGATGCACCACCCGGTGCTGCAACCCCTTCATGGGGTCACCACTGGTCGCTGATGCCCATAGGGTCCCCCCCTCCTGGAAAAGGGGGGTCCAAGGGGGAGCTGCTGAAGGATTCAGCTGTGCCAGCAGCTCTCTGGCAGTGGTGGCATCTTCTACCCTGCAGAGAGAGCCCAGGAGATGCTAAAGGAGGTCACAGCTTCTGCTTTAATGGCTGAGGTTTGGTGGCTCCTCACACCGAGCGGGCGACACCAAGCGGGGTCCCCCCTCAGACCAAAGCTCTCCCCAACCCTCCAAGAGTAAGAAAGGAACGATTAAAAATCACAACTAAATCAGTGTTTTCCCCTTGTTTCGCTGAGGGGGGATGAGCTGGGACGTGGAGGAGCCCAGAGCTGGGAGATGGATGAGTCCTTTTCCGAGAGGATCCGTCCAGCGGCAGGGGTGGGGGGGTGGTCCTGGCAGCACCCACATCATCACAGCCCAGCCAGGCCACCAAGTGCTTCCCAGGCTTCCCAGACAGCCAGTCCTGGAGCTGGTGGGACACAAGAGAGCCTGGTGACCTCCCCCCTCAGTACATGGCCTCGTTGTCCCCCACGGCGGTGAAGGGGACGCCGCTGTAGGTGCTCTTCTTGCTGCGCTTGCTCTTCTTGCTCCACACCAGCAGCGTGCTGGGGCTCTTGCTGTTCATCAGGCTCTTCCTGCTGTTCTCCTTGTTGCTCTTCAGCAGCCCTGAGGACATCCCTGCCGCCTTCTTGTCCACCTGCTTGGGAAGGAGGGAGAGGGGGGAGTGAGAGCCACGACACCGGGGAACTCCTGCGCTTCCCTCAGCAGTAAAAATCCACGTTAGAGAGGTTTTAGTGCAGCTTTTCAGCGCTTTTATCTGGCTGGTACCTCTCCACAAGGTTTCTAAAAATGCTGTTTGTCATTCCTGGCTAAGAAATGTCAACCTGAACCACGGTTGTGTCCCCTCCTCAGCCTGGAGGAGAGAGGGGGGGACAGGTGAAGGGTTTTCCACCTGGGAAAACGTGCTCAGAATGAGACACAAGGTTTGATAAAACCACTCAGAGCCACCCAGGAGCCTCGAAACCCTTCCAGAAGGTGGGAGGCTGTGGCAGAGCAGATGAGGAAGAGGAAGAAGGTGAAGAGATGGGTGTTTTTAGGACCTATGGCTCAAATTCAGGGGCGTGGTGAGGGCGCCGCTGTGGGAGGGATGGTTTTGGAAGTGGGTGGGATGGATGAGGGAAGGTCCAAATATTGTCACTGGGACATGGATGTTGTCATTAGAAAATTAATATTGTCATTAGAACCCGAATGTTGACATTAGAACCCAAATACTGTCATTAGAACCTGAATAATTGTAATTAGAACCCAAATACTGTCATTAGGAGCTGAATATTGCCATTAGAATCTGAACATTGTAATTAAAACATGCATATTGTCATTTAACATGAATATTGTAATTAGAGCCCAAATACCGTCATTGGAATGTAAATAATATACTGTGAACCCAAATATTGTAATTAGAACCCAAATATTGTCATTAGAACCTGAATATTCAAACTAGAACCCAAATACTGTCACTAGAACTTGAATATTGTAATTTGAACCCAAGTATTGTAATTTGAACCCAAGTATTGCCATGAGAAGCTGAATATTTTCATTAGAAATTGAATATTGTCATTAGAACTTGAGTATTGCCTTCAGAACCCAAAAATTGTAATTAGAACTCAAATTTTGTCATTAGAACCTGAATAATTGTCATTAGAACCCGAATACTGTAATTAGAACCCAAATATTGCCTTTAGAACCCAAACATTGTACTTAGAACTCATATGTCTTGAACCTGCATTAGAACCCAAATACTGTCATTAGAACCTGAATAATTGTCATTAGACCCTGAATAATTGTCATTAGAACCCGAATACTGTAATTAGAACCCAAATATTGCCTTTAGAACCCAAACATAGTAATTAGAACTCATATTTTGTAATTAGAACCTGAATATTCTATCTAGAACCCGAGTATTGTCATTAGACCATAATATTGTCATTAGACCCCAATATTGTCATTAGACCCCGAATATTGCCATCAGAACCCGAATATTGCCATCAGAACCCGAATATTGCCATCAGAACCCGAATATTGTCATAAAAGCACTAATATTGTCATTAGAACCCGAATATATTGTACTTTGAACCCAAATATTGTCATTAGACCCCAAATATTGTCATTAGAACCTGAATATTGCTATTAGAACCCAAACACTGTCATTAGAACCTGAATATTGTACTTTGAACCCAAATACTGTCATTAGAACCTGAATATTGTACTTTGAACCCAAATACTGTCATTAGACCCTGAACATTGTCATTAAAACTCAAATTCTGTCATTAGAACCCAAATATTGTACTTTGAAACCAAATCTTGTCATTAGAACCCAAATATTGCCATTAAACCCCGACCACTGCCATCAGAACCCAACCCCTGTAACACTCCCTGCCGTGACAAAGGGAGCGATTTTTTTGGCTCAAAACCATCCTGGAGACCTCTTCGTTAATCCCAACCAACTTAACGCCTTATCTTCCAAGGCGTGGCCTCCCACGGCCACGGGGGGAGTGGGGGATGGAATTCCCGAGGTTTAGGAGGTGACTTACAGCCCGGGGCGCCTCGGAGCCGTGCAGGGTGATGACGGCGACGTCGACGCCGTCGGCGCCGCAGCTCTTGAGGAGCTGCACGACCTCGGCGTGCTTGGCCCACCGGCAGTCCCGGCCGCTCACCGAGACGATGTAATCGCCCTCCTTCAGCCCCGCTGCCTGCAGGGAAAGCGGGAAGACGGATGAGTTGGAGCTCGTGGAGCGTCCCAGAGTCTCGTGGGATGGTTTTCCAGGTGAATTCCAAGCTGTGTTGTTCTGTTGCTTCCCCAAGCCCTGGTCAGTGTGGCCAGGGATGAGGAAGCCACAGCTTCTCTGGGAATTCCAGCCCAAACCCTCCCCACCCTCCCAGACAGGAATTCCTTCCCCATATCCCTTTTAAAGCTCCCACATTTCAGTTTGAAGCCATTCCCCCTTATCCTGTCCCTCCATCCCTTGTCCAAATTCCCTCTCCAGCTCTCCCTCTCCCCCTTCTCTTGGAAGGGGCTCCAAGGTCTCCCTGGAGCCTTCCCTTCTATCAAGTGAGGAGGTGACACAACTGTGGCCCTGATATGGACCACAAATGGTCTTGGAGAAGATTCTGGTCTCCCAAAAAAAAGGGATGGGATCCTGCTGTTAAGATCCTGTGTTGTTATAGAGATTCCGGCCTCTGGATGGCTGTTGGATGCTGAGGGAGCTGGGAGACCTTTTGGGCATCCCAGCAGGGTTCTCCAGGATCTGCTGGATAAAAAAGTTGCCCTTGATACACCACAGGGTCCCTACAGTGAGTTTTCAGTGAAATAACCTGTTTTACAGGTTTGCCATTCTGTTCCATCCATCCTCACATCCCAAAATGAGGGATAAAGCAGCTGGGTGGGCAGCCAGCAGTTAAAAATCAGAGCAAACCTTCCTATTTTTCCCTAAAAATTCATCTCAATTGTTCCCTGACACCCACCTGCAAGCCCCAGGCTGGGATCCTGCAGGGATGAGTCTCCACCAAGACCTAAAACCGTCTGGTATCCCTCAAAAAAACACCTCAGTTCCAGCATGGGAATAGCAGGAATTTGGGATTACCTAAAACCACCTGGTATCCCTCAAAAAAACACCTCAGTTCCAGCATGGGAATAGCAGGAATTTGGGATTACCTAAAACCACCTGCTATCCCTCAAAAAAACCCTCAGTTCCAGCATGGAAACAGCAGGAACTTGGAATAATCAACCTCCCAGGAACCCAGGCTGGAATCCTGCAGGGATGAGTCTCCACCTGAGCTCACCAAGACCTAAAACCACCTGGTAATCCCTCAAAAAACCCCTCAGCTCCAGCCTGGGAATAGCAGGAACTTGGACTAATCAACCTCCCGGGAACCCAGGCTGGAATCCTGCAGGGATGAGTCTCCACCTGAGCTCACTAAGACCTAAAACCACCCGGTATCCCTCAAAAAAACACCTCAGTTCCAGCATGGGAATAGCAGGAATTTGGGATTACCTAAAACCACCTGGTATCCCTCAAAAAAACCCTCAATACCAGCATGGAAACAGCAGGAATTTGGGATTACCTAAAACCACCTGCTATCCCTCAAAAAACCCCTCAGTTCCAGCCTGGGAATAGCAGGAACTTGGAATAATCAACCTCCCAGGAACCCAGGCTGGAATCCTGCAGGGATGAGTCTACTCCTGAGCTCACCAATGCTCTTTTAAGACCCAAAACCACCTGGTAGCCCTCAAAAACTCCCTCAGTTCCAGCATGGGAGCAGCAGGAATTTGGGATTACCTAAACCCACCTGGTGTCCCTCGAAAAACCCCTCAGTTCCAGCCTGGGAACAGTAGGAATTTGGGATTACCTAAAAACACCTGCTATCCCTCAAAAACCCCCTCAGTTCCAGCCTGGGAACAGCAGGAATCTGGACTAATCAACCTCCCAGGAACCCAGGCTGGAATCCTGCAGGGATGAGTCTACTCCTGAGCTCACCAATGCTCTTTTAAGACCCAAAACCACTTGGTATCCCTCAAAAAGCCCTCAATTCCAGCATGGGAACAGCAGGAATTTGGGATTACCTAAAACCACCTGGTATCCCTCAAAAAACCCCTCAATTCCAGCCTGGGAATAGCAGGAACCTGGAATATCCAGCCCTCCTGGGAATTCAGGCTGGAATCCTGCAGGGATGAGTCTACTCCTGAGCTCACCAATGCACTTCTAACACCCCAAACCACCTGATATCCCTCAAAACCCCCTCAATTCCCCCATCATGGGAACAGCAGGAACTTGGTATTACCTAAAACCACTTCATATCCCTCAAAAACCCCCTCAGTTCCAGCCTGGGAAGAGCAGGAACCCGGAATACTCACGGCAGCTCTCCAAGAATCCAGGGTGGGATCTGGCAGGGATGAGCTCACCAATGCACTTCTAAGACCCAAACCCACTTTGTATCCCTCAAAACCCCCTCAGTTCCAGCCTGGGAACAGCATGAACTTGGAATAATCAGCCTCCCGAGAACCCAGGCTGGAATCCTGCAGGGATGAGTCTCCACCTGAGCTCACCAATGCTCTTTTAACACCCAAAACCACCTGGTATCCCTCAAAACCCCCCTCAGTTCCAGCCTGGGAATAGCAGGAATTTGGGATTACCTAAAAACACCTGCTATCCCTCAAAAACCCTCAGTTCCAGCCTGGGAACAGCAGGAATCTGGAATAATCAACCTCCCAGGAACCCAGGCTGGAATCCTGCAGGGATGAGTCTCCACCTGAGCTCACTAAGACCTAAAACCACCCAGTATCCCTCAAAAAACCCCTCAATTCCAGCCTGGGAATAGCAGGAACCTGGAATATCCAGCCCTCCTGGGAATTCAGGCTGGAATCCTGCAGGGATGAGTCTACTCCTGAGCTCACCAATGCTCTTTTAAGACCCAAAACCACCTGGTAGCCCTCAAAAAACTCCTCAGTTCCAGCATGGGAATAGCAGGAATTTGGTATTACCTAAAACCACCTGGTATCCCTCAAAAAAACCCTCAATACCAGCATGGGAACAGCAGCGAATTTGGGATTACCTAAAACCACCTGCTATCCCTCAAAAAACCCCTCAGTTCCAGCCTGGGAATAGCAGGAATCTGGAATAATCAGCCTCCCAAGAACCCAGGCTGGAATCCTGCAGGGATGAGTCATACCCTGAGCTCACCAATGCTCTTTTAAGACCCAAAACCACCTGGTAGCACTCAAAAAATTCCTCAGTTCCAGCCTGGGAATAGCAGGAATTTGAGATTACCTAAAACCAGTTGGTGTCCCTCAAAAACACCCTCAGTTCCAGCCTGAGAATAGCAGGAACTTGGGATTACCTAAAACCACCTGGTATCCCTCAAAAAAACCCTCAGTTCCAGCCTGGGAATAGCAGGAATCTGGAATAATCAGCCTCCCAAGAACCCAGGCTGGAATCCTGCCGATGGCTGAGTCTCCGCTTAGCTCACCAATGCTCTTTTAAGACCCAAAACCACCTGGTAGCCCTCAAAAAACTCCTCTGTTCCAGCATGGGAATAGCAGGAATTTAGGATTACCTAAAACCCCCTCGTACTCCTCAAAAAAACCCTCAGTTCCAGCCTGGGAATAGCATGAACTTGGAATAATCAGCCTCCCAAGAACCCAGGCTGGAATCCTGCAGGGATGAGTTTCCACCTGAGCTCACCAATGCTCTTTTAAGACCCAAACCACCTGGTATCCCTCAAAAAGCCCTCAGTTCCAGCATGGGAGTAGCAGGAATTTGGGATTACCTAAAACCACCTGATATGCCTCAAAAAAACACCTCAATTTCAGCCTGGGAATAGCAGGAATCTAGGATTTCCTAAAACCACCTGGTATCCCTCAAAAAAACCCTCAGTTCCAGCCTGAGAATAGCAGGAACTTGGGATTACCTAAAACCCCCTCGTACTCCTCAAAAAAACCCTCAGTTCCAGCCTGGGAATAGCAGGAATTTGGGATTACCTAAAAACACCTGCTATCCCTCAAAAAAACCCTCAGTTCCAGCATGGGAACAGCAGGAACTTGGAATAATCAACCTCCCAGGAACCCAGGCTGGAATCCTGCAGGGATGAGTCTCCAGCTTAGCTCACCAAGACCCAAAACTCCCTGGTATCCCTCAAAAAATCCCTCAGTTCCAGCATGGGAATAGCAGGAATTTGGGATTACCTAAAACCACCTGATATGCCTCAAAAAACACCTCAATTTCAGCCTGGGAATAGCAGGAACCTGGAATATCCAGCCCTCCTGGGAATTCAGGCTGGAATCCTGCAGGGATGAGTCTCCACCTGAGCTCACCAATGCCCTCTTAAGACCCCAAACCACCTGATATCCCTCAAAAAACTCCTCAGTTCCAGCATGGGAATAGCAGGAACTTGGTATTACCTAAAACCACCTGATATCCCTCAAAAAACCCCCTCAATTCCAGCCTGGGAAGAGCAGGAACCCGGAATACTCACGGCAGCGCAGCCCCCCGGGATGACGCCGGCGATGAGGACGGGCGAGTCTCCCCTCAGGGTGAACCCAAATCCATTCTCTCCCCTCATCAGGTGGACTCTCCTTGCTGGATACCACTTGTTTTTGGCAGAGAAGACCGACAGGGGTCCCTGGGGGGAGGCAGAAACGTGGAAAGCACCTTTTGGTGCAGGAACAACTCTCCCCTGAGGATACACGGCCTTGCAATTCCAGGGATGGAGAGAGGGGGCAGGGGGAGAAATTCCATGCTTTGCAGGAATATAAAAACCATTAGCCAAGGAGGGATGCTGGAGGTTGAGGGGTTTTATCTGGGAGATGCTGGGGGTGGTCCAGGGCACCTCTTCAGGGTCTGTTTTCCCTCATATCTTTCCTGTTTTCCTGCCTTTTTCCTACTTTTCCATTCCCACTGGATCTGTTCAAGGGCACAGATGCACAACTTCTCCTTGGGGTGCCCAATGACAGCAGAGCCAGACCCCACAGAAACCCCAAAGCTCAGCCCTGAACCCCAGTCCTGTTCCCCAAGACCCCACAAACCTGAAAGGATCAGGATAAAGCTCCAGTGGGATTTTCCTGCTGCCTCCTGCCCCCCAAAACCCTTCCTTTTAAGGCTCCCTCGGGTCCTTCTTGGGTCAAACCCACCCACAGGGAGGAGGGGGTGGGTGAGGTGGTGGGACAGATCACCCCTTTAGGGTCTGATTCCCCTCAAATCTTTCCTGTTTTCCTGGTTTTTTCCTACTTTTCCACTCCCACTGGAGCAGGATATCCCTGGGGCTGTCCAAGAGCAGAGAGGAAAACCTCTCCTTGGGGTGCCAAGGGATGGGGACAGCAGAGCCAGACCCCACAGAAACCCCAAAGTTCAGCCCTGAACCCCAGTCCTGCTCCCTAAAACCCCACAAACCTAAAGATGATCGGGATAAAGCTCCAGTGGGATTTTCCTGCAGCCTCCTGCCCCACAAACCTTCCTCTCAGGGGCTCCCTTGGGTCAAAAGCCCCCCAAAATTCCCGTGCCAGCTCCCAGAGGAGCTCTGTGACCCATTTAGGTCTCGTGGTGACAGATCTGTGCCCTCCCAACCCTCCTCCTGCCGGTGAGGAGGCGGCTCATCCTCCTTGGAAAACTGCCTGGGAGAGGGAGAAGGGGCTGGGGGAGGAAGGAAAGCAGGCAAAGCAGAGCATGCAGGGGAGGAGGAGGGGAATGTCTGATCCCTTGGGAGATCCTGCATCCCGGAGCTGTACCTACCAGCCTGTGGAAGAGGTCGGTCACCTTCACCTGGGAGAAGTTGGGGGCTTTGATCTCGGGCTTCTGGTGGGTTTTGGCTGGTGGTGGGCAGAGAAAAAAAACAAGCACACACACAAAGGGGGTGACCTCAGGGGGTTGTGGGGGTAATTTCTACCTCCACATCACTCAAGGAGGGGTGGTGGGACCCATAACAACCAGGACCTGCTCAGGCAGCAGAGAATGCTGGAATAGGGCGGGTTGGAGGGGAATTTAAAGATCATTCAGTCCCACGGGCAAGGAACCCCCCCTGCCACGCCATGAACTCGCTGTGGAGCTTCCCCACGCTGTGAAAAATCCCCCAAAACCCCCTCCCCAGCTGCAAAAACCCCCACCCCCACCCCACTCACGGTGGATGTCTGGGGCATCTCCCGTCTCGAAGAAATCCTCCTCGTGGTCGATCTCCGAGTACTTGCTCAGGGAGCGCTTGTGGGCGAAGGACAGGACCTCCTGCAGGATGTCCATCTTCCTGAGGATCTTGCACAGCCCGTGGATCCTCATGGCCTCCTCGTGCTTCATGATGGCTTTTTTCAGGTGGGCTTTGCCTGGGAGGGAGCAGAGGGATCTCAGTTGGGAGCGGAGCAGCTCCGGCGCCGCTCCCGCTCGCTCGGCTGCCCACGGATGGGGAGCAGCTTCCCCGGGGCTGTGACACCCTGGAGTGACTCAGGGACAGCCCAGTCACGTTCCCAGCCTGCTGGAGGCTCTAAATGGGGTCGTTCCCAGCCCCTCAGCTCGAGCCCTCCATGTAGGGCTGGGAAGGGACCTTGAAGGGTGACCTACTTGGCTCCCCCGGCGCCGGAGCCGGCAGATGTTCCTGAAAACCGGCGTCGTGCCGCCCCCGAAGTCCCTCCTAAAGCTTAACCTCAATCTCCTCCTGCAAATTAACTTCTCTCTCCGTGCCTTGCGTCCCCTGGGAGCTGGGAAGGTGGAGAACAAGCCAGCCCCGTCCTCCTGGATCAGCCTTTGGGGAAGGTGCAACACCCTCTCCTCTCGTTTTCCAGGCTAAGCCGAGCCTTGTCCTTGCCCTGCAGCTCCAGGAGCGGGAACACGGAGAACGACCCGGCCCCGTCCTCCTGGATCAGCCTTTGGGGAAGGTGCAACACCTCTCCCCGTTTCCCAGGCTAAGCCAAGCCTTCTCCTTGCCCTGCAGGTCCTGTTCTCCATCCTCTTCATCCCCCTCTTCGCTCCTCCCCACTTGCCTTCCACAGGTTGCGACCCTCGGGAAAAAGACGCGGCGGGAAAACAGCCCGAGGAGCTGAAATCATGGTAACCCACGGATATCAGAGCAAACATCTCCCCTGCCACAGACGGCAACCGAGGCACCCGTTTCCAAGGCTAAACTCCCAAAAAAAGCTCTCCCCGGGTGTGTACGCGTCGCTTGGAAACGCCCGTGCCTGGAGCGTTTCAGGCTCAGGACACACGGGGGCAACAGAATCCAGGGAGAGGATCGGCTCCGCTCCACGCTCCCGAGGAAGTTTCCTAACTCGGGGAATGTTTTGGGGTCGGATGGACAACAGAGAGGAGGAGATTCCCCCCCTAGCCCCGCAAAAAAATCGGTTGCACAACAGTGTCAGTTGTATTTGAGCAAAGTGCTCGATGTCAGCAAGGAACAGCTGGGAAATGATGGGGGATAATAATGATGATAATCATGGAATCAAGGAATGGTTTGGGTTGGAAGGGACCTGGAAGATCATCCAGCTCTAAGCCCCTGCCTGTGGGCAGGGACACCTCCCACTAGCCCAGGTTGATGCAATCTGGCCTTGGATACTTCCAGGGATCCAGGCACAGTCACAGCTTCTCTGGGAATTCCATTCCAGCCCTCACCACCCTCCCAGCCAAGAATTCCTGCCCAATATCCCACCTAACTCTGTCCTCTGGCAGTGGGAAGCCATTCCCTGTGTCCTGTCCCTCCACTCCTTGTCCCAAGTCCCTCTCCAGCTCTCCTGGAGCTCCTTTAGGAGCTGGAAGGGGCTCCAAGGTCTCCTTGGAGCCTTCCTTCTCCAGGCTGGACAGGGAAGAAGAATTCCTTCCTAATATCCAATCTAAGTGTACCCTCCTTCAGCTTAAAGCCATTCCCTCATGTCCTGTCATTGCATAAAATAATAAAAATAAGAATTAAAAATAATAAAAAATTAAAAAATAATAATACTAACCAAGAGAAACAGAGGAACATGAGGAATAGAAAAATATAAGGAATAGGGGAGAGGCTTGAAAGTTGTGCAAGCTTTTGGCTCCACTCTGCTAAAGATGATGGAATACAATATGTCTGTTAAAACACAATCCCATGAGATCAGGAGATGAGGGAAGAGGAGAATAAATATCCTCCCAAGGAGGTGATTTTAATGCCACAAGTTTAAAAATCACAGAACAATTTGGGCTGGAAGCAACCTTTAAGATCATCTCGTTCCAACCCCTGCCAAGGGCAGGAACATCTTCCACAGACCAGGTTGCTCCAAGTCCAGGCCAACCTGGCCTTGGACACTTCCAGGGGTGGGGAATTCACAACCTCTCTGGGTTTCTTCCCTTCCTTTAAACCAAAACCAAGCTAAGGATGGTGCTGCACATCCATTTTCCACCAGCTGACGCTGAGCAGAGCTCATTCCCCACAGGAAAAATCAGGAAGAGCTGGAATGTGGAACAAACCTGACAAAAACAGCTGAGGGGGTCGGGTGGTGTCACCACAACGCCGATTTTGGGGTTCGTTTTGGAGGTTCTCCACCTCCCATCCCCACTGAAATCTGGCTGAGCAGCTGAGGGGACTTTGCCCAACTCATTCCTGGTGGGAACTGTCTCCTGTCCCACGTGTTGCAAGGAGGGGGAAGAGCCCCAGGAGGTGACACCCCGAACTGAGGGTGCTGAGCTTGCTGTCGCTGGGGAGGAGCTGCCAAAACACGACTCCAGCTGAACAAGCAACGTTCTGTTCTTCCCCTGGAGCTGAAAAATCCGCATGGGAGGAAGTTCTTGTCTCCCAAGCGTTTTGCTGCAGCTAAAAAAGCCACCCCCTGAAGCATCTGCTGCAGCTTGTTATCGAGCCAAGTCAGCAACCCAAGCCCAGGAGCTTCCAGGATCTCTGTGTCCCTATGGATTTCTCCATCAGGGTGATGTCACCTGGCTCAAGAACACCTGGAGGTTTTACTGCCAAGCCAAGCCCAAACCAAAGGGAGCTTCCAGGATCTCCATGTCCCTATGGATTTCTCCATCAGGGTGATGTCACCTGGCTCAGAACACCTGGAGGTTTTACTGCCAAGCCAAGCCCAAACCAAAGGGAGCTTCCAGGATCTCCATGTCCCTATGGATTTCTCTAGGAGAGTGACATTACCTGGCTCAAAACACCTGGAGGTTTTACTGTCAAACACCTGGAGGTTTTACTGTCAAGCCAAGCCAAACCAAGGGGAGCTTCCAGGATCTCCATGTCCCTATGGATTTCTCCATCAGAGTGACATTACCTGGCTCAAAACACCTGGAGGTTTTACTGTCAAGCCAAGCCCAAACCAAAGGGAGCTTCCAGGATCTCCATGCCCCTATGGATTTCTCCATCAGGGTGATGTCACCTGGCTCAAAATACCTGGAGGTTTTACTGTCAAACACATGGAGGTTTTACTGCCAAGCCAAGCCCAAACCAAAGGGAGCTTCCAGGATCTCCATGTCCCTATGGATTTCTCCATCAGGGTGATGTCACCTGGCTCAGAACATCTGGAGGTTTTACTGTCAAGCCAAGCCAAACCAAAGGGAGCTTCCAGGATCTCCATGTCCCTATGGATTTCTCCATGAGGATGCTGTCACCTGGAGCTTTCACTGCCAAACACAGCTGGACAGGTTGGTGAAGGCACCACGAGCTGGTCCTCAACACCCCAAAGGAGATTGTGATGCTTTCCTGCCCTCCCAGGAGAGCCTGTTCGCCAAGAAATCCCACCAAAAAGCGTCTTTGCACGGAGAGATTTTCCCCCCCTAAAATTTCATCCCGTCCCTTTGTGGAGACCAATCCTGAAGGAGCTTTGTCCCCACCACAGAGGTGCTCACCCAACTTCCTCCTCTCCTCGGGGTCCTGCAGCAGGACACGGAGCGATGGTCCCTCCGGCATGGTGACGTGGAACTGCATGAAGGCCTTCTCCTGCTCTGGAAGCTCAGATTCCGAGGCCACTGAGGAAGGAAAAGGGTGGGAATGGGCTCAGGGAGAGGTCAGGGCCACCCAGGACACTCTGGTAGTGGGGACAAGGAAGCCACACCCACGTTCAGGTGGCCCCAGTAAATTCAGCAGCGCCTTCCTCTTGTCCAGCCAAAGCCTGGGACAACCAGGACATCACTGATGGGCACAGGGAGTGAGTTATCCCATTGAGAACTCCCCCAGGATTTGGGGTTAAGGGCAGGATTTGTCCTGGGCACAGCACAATATCTGGCTCTTTTGCTTCCCTCCTTCCTTTGCTCCCATCTGGAAGCAGATTGGAAAGAGGGAGCCCTGGCTTTTCCCCACCTGGAGGGGGAGACAAACCAGAGAATCAGGGAATGGTTTGGCTTGGAAGGGATCTGGAAGATCATCCAGTTCCAACCCCTGCCGTGGATAGGGACACCTCCCACTAGCCCAGGTTGCTCCAACCTGGCCTTGGACACTTCCAGGGATCCAGGGGCAGTCACAGCTTCTCTGGGAATTCCATTCCAGCCCCTCCCCACCCTCTCAGCCAAGAATTCCTTCCCAATATCCCATCTAACCCTGGGAAGCCACTCCCTGTGTCCTGTCCCTCCATCCCTTGTCCCCAGTCCCTCTCCAGCTCTTCTGGAGCCCCTTTAGGCCCTGGAAGGGGCTCTCAGGCCTCCTTGGATCTCCAGGTGAACATTCCCAGCTCTCCCAGCCTGTCACTCAAGAACAGGCTGATTAAAGTGTAATTAATTAATTAATTAGGGAGCTGAGCCCTCCCTGCTGTGCCAGGAAACCCTGCACAGGCACAGAGCTCACAGTGCAACCAAGGGGTTTTTCCATGGAGACACGGACATGGATACATGGATACAGCTCTCCCAGGCTCTCCAAGCCCCACACTGGGCTCCTTAAATCCCAATTTCCAGCCAAAGCTGTTCCTAATCCCCTCTGGCTCTCAGGGAACCCCTTCCCTGGGCACAGAGTGTGAGAAAAAGCAACCCAAAAAATTCCAGGGAGCTTTGCTGGGCCAAACAGAGGAACCCAAAAGCCTGGTGAGCAGCCTGGCATCGGCATCCAGAGGGTTGGGAAGTGGCAGCTCCGGGGCTGGGAGCTCTGCCTGTGCCAGCTCTTGCCATGTCAGCATTCCCTGGGGGATTAATCTGCAGAGTAAGGAGTTTGTTGCCAGCTGGTTACGGAAGCAAAAGATTCGTTATTCTGACAGGGAGGTCAGGGAGAGGCAGATCCCAACAGCAGACAATAAAAAAATTCCCCAAATGAGGCATTTCTTGCAGATTGTTGCTTCCCTCAGTGCCTTAAATTCACCAGGACACCAAACAGCCTCCAAATTTTAGGGGAAAGGTTTTCCCTGCGCTTTGCAACCACACCCAAACCCCTTCTCCATCATCATCCTCTCCTGCTTCTCCAGCCTTCAGGCTGCTCCAGCCCCACAGGATCCCACTCTCTCCCGTCTCCTCCATCAATCCATCTGCAACACCCCCGTGCCACAAGCCCAGGGAGAGGATTCTGGGCAGGCTCTGGAGCGGGGGAGGGTGCCAGGACAGTCTGGCAGCCACCGGCGTCACGGGCGCAGCACCGGTTTTGGCAGCCGTGCCTCGGAAAAAAAGCCTCCCCAGCCACCCACCAGGCGATGAGGTGGCACCAAAGGTCAGGGTGCCCATCTGCTGCCCACCCCCAGAGCTTCTGCTTGTCCCAGAATCGCTCGCAGGGTGTCGGTGATGGCGCAGATGGAGATGAGGGGGCACATCCTGCGTCCAAACTCCAGCTGATTCCACGGGAGATGCACCAGCCCAGCACAGCCACGTGCGCCCCTGCTGCCAGCACCCCACCAGCCTCAGGTTCCCCCACCCATCCATGAGGTTGGGAACTGAATTCAAGGTATTTTGGGGGTTCTTTTTAATTTTTGGAGCCTCCAACAGGAGGTGGCTCAAAGGATGGTGGGCTGAGGACACGGGTGTGGGCAGCAGGCAGGTGACCCCCTGTTTAGACACCCCCAGCCCCAAAGGGGACAGCAGGTGACACCCCTACAGCACCTTTTTGCTCCCTTTCTTAAGGAGGACTTTTCCCTGTGGAAACCAGAAATTAAAAGGGGGGAAATCTGCCCTGGGCAGGAATTGCTGAGTGGATGAAGAAGATCCGGAGCTCAGAGCACCCCAAAACCTCCAGGATTTTGGATCCATCTACCTGTTCATGCCTCCTTTCTTTGGAAATCCTCTCCCCCTCCCCCAGATTCCAAGCTACCATGTGGAACCAGCTGAGCAGGAAGCTCCTCCCAAGGTGGGAACTCACCGGGGCAGTCGCAGAGGGCGATGGCAGCGAAGTAGTGGGAGAGGGCTTTGAAATGCTCCGACTTGACGTGCACCATGGTGGTCCAGGAGAAGGGAACGTAGTCCTTCACGTGGGGCTGGGTCATGGTCTGGTGCACCAGCGAGTAAACATCCTCCACCTGCGAGGAGAGAGGGGACAAGAGATGGGGGATGTCCATCAGGAGATGCCACCAGCACATTGTCCTCTCCTAGAGGGTTCTGCCGACCACAGGGACATCCCACCAAGTCCAACGGTGTGGGGTTCAACAAGTGGCGGGTCCTGCACTTTGGCCACAACAATCCCACAGAGCTCTGCAGCTGGGGAAGAGTTGCTGGAGAGAGAGGGACCTGGGGGTGTGGATTGACAGCAGTGGGACACGAGCCCAGGGGTGCCCAGGTGGTCAAGAAGGCCGATGGATCCTGGCCTGGCTCAGGGACAGGGTGGCAGCAGGAGCAGGGAAGGGATTCTGTCCCTGGGAGGCCACCCCTGGAGTGCTGTGTCCAGCTCTGGCCCTCAGCTCAGGAAGGACATGGAGGGGCTGGAGCAGGGGCAGAGAAGAGCAACGAGGCTGGGGAAGGGACTGGAGCACAATTCCCATGAGGAGAGGCTGAGGGAGCTGGGGGGGCTCAGCCTGGAGAGGAGGAGGCTCAGGGGACACCTCAGCACTCTCTGCAACCCCCTGACAGGACAGGGGGAGCCGGGGGGGGTCGGGCTCTGCTCCCAGGACAAGGGGACACAGCCCTGAGCTGTGCCAGGGCAGGGTTAGGTTGGATATAAGGAAGAAATTCTTTCCAGAGAGAGGGATCAAACCTTGGGATGGGCTGCCCAGGGAGGAGGTGGAGTCCCCGTCCCTGGGGGTGCTGAAGCAGAGCCTGGACGGGCTGGGTGCCAAGGTGGGGTTGGGGCACGGCTTGGAATCGACGCTCTCAGAGGTCTTTTCCACCCTAATTGATTCTATGAAATCCTCTCCTCCCCCAAATCCTCACCTTTGCTGCCTCCTGAGCGAGCTGCAGCCGGGCCAGGAAGTCGTTCTGGGCACGGAGCAAGGTCATCTTCTCAAAGACACACTCCTGCACCTGGGCCACCATCAGCCTCACCAGCATGTCCAAGGAAGGGGCGCTCATATCCAGGCTGGGAGCGTTGGAGAAGTTCTCCTTCAAGTAGTTAAAGGCACCTGCACGAGGGAGAAGCTCCTTGGGGGTCACGGGGTCAGAAGCAGGAGGGTCAGGTTTTTGGATCCCTACCAGCAGTGTAGGAAAAATTCCATCCACACATCCAACACGTCACCCCCATGGCAGGTGTCCCCCACCCCCGAGGGATCGAGACCACCCCTCTGACGGGACTGTGGCCACCACTTCAACCAGCACACATGGAAGCTGCAGCCACCACGGTCCATCACTGCATCCAGCATGAATATGTGGACATTGATGGGAATACTGATGGGTTTCCTTTCCTTCTCTTCCATCCCTTACACATTTCCTGAAGTGTTAGTTTTAGGCTTTAATGTTGCTGGATGACTACAGATGACAACACCCAAAATGGCTCCACACCTGTGTTCCTCTGAAACCAAACTGTTCTAAAATAATATATATAAAATATATATATTTTATATGCATAATTTATATTATATCTAATATCTAATTATATATGATATGATTTTATATCATATAGAATACTATATTCCATATAATAATTGATAGAATGTATTATTCAATTACATATTATATAGAACATTATAATATGTAATAAAATAAAATACATATTGTTATATTACCTAAATATTTTATATTATGATAATATACAACAGTATATATATTATACTATATAATATAATAGTATATTAATATTATTTAACACATAAGAGTATATACAATATACTATAGTATATATTGTCTATATTATGTATAATACATATATTGTATAGCATATTAGTATATTTTACATATATGTATCTTTTGTGTATATATCTACTATATACTATAATGTATATTACATATAGTACATATTCTATATATACTATATACATACTATATATATTATATATAATATATAGTAGTGTATACTATACTATATAATAGTATATTTATATTCATATTATATTAATATATGATCATTTATTAGCATATATTATATATACACTAGTATGTTATTGTATATAATACATAAAATATAATGTAGGCAATATATATTTTATATATAGTATATATATAGTATATATAGTATATATTTTCTATGTATTATATATAGTATATATATTATATACACTATATATGATATATATAGTATATGTATTATATATACTCTATATATTATGGAGAATATATACAGTATCTATATTATATATACTCTCTACTACATATAGAATACATAGTAGATATAGTATCTATATTATATATACTCTCTACTATATATAGGATACACAGTAGATATAGTATCTCTATTATATATACTCTACTACATATAGAATACATAGCAGATGTAGTATCTATATTATATATACTCTCTACTATATATAGAATATATAGTAGATATAGTATCTCTATTATATATACTCTCTACTACATATAGAATATATATACACTATATATAGATATATATACTATACTACTATATATACTCTCTATATACTCTATATATACTATATATAAACTATATATAGAATATATAGTATTTATAGTATCTATATTATATATACTCTCTACTACATATAGAATATATAGTATTTATAGTATCTATACTATATATACTCTCTACTACATATAATAATAATGGCCAAACATTATATATATTTATATACATATTTACAAGCAGCCATCATTCACCATCCTTTCTCTCCAATCCCCCCCAGCATTCATTCCCCAGCCCCCAGGTCCCCTCCCCTGCCCTGGGGTGGGTGTTGATGATGCTGAGGCCCCCACGTACCCGCTGCCCTCTGGAAGGCGTCGATGGCCTGGTTGAGGCCGGGCAGGGCGGCGCGGGCCTGGCGGGCCCCGATCTGGGTGTGCAGGGCGCCCAGGTTGAAGAGGACACTGCCCTTCTCGAAGGCCAGAGCCCGCTGGTGGGACGGCACCCCCGTCAGCGAGTCGTACCTGCACGAGGGAAGGGTCAGCAGCTGCCCACCCGCCTGGCACAGACACCCAGAGGTGGTCTTGACGGTCCCTTCCAACCCAAACCACTCCATCCTTGCCCATGGATGCAGGAGGAGCCTGGAGGGTGGTCAGTGCTCCACGTGGGAACCACCACTCCCATCATGGTTCATCACGTTCCCCCTTCCTCCCCTAATTAACCCACCCCAGCGCCCAGCAAGCCGAGCTCCTCCATGTCCCCCATCACAGAGGTTTGATCCCAAATCCCTCTCAGTGCCCTGGGAGGGATCGGGGAAGCGGCACCAACCAGTGGAAGAAGACCCCCAGGGGTTTGGAGGGAAGGAAGAAGCGGCTCTCGAGGAAGTGGAGCTGGTTGTAATATTCCATCAGCAGCTCCAGCCCGGCTTCGTTGCGGCTCGGCGTGCGCATGGCCTGGGGGATGGCAGAGGAGATGTGGGAGTGGGAAAAGAAGGGGGGGAGATCCCTGAGGCTGAGACACCCTCCCCAAAGACTCCCTGAGAATTGGGGTGGATCAGCCTGGAGAAGGGAAGGATCCAGGGAAGGCCTTGAAGCCCCTTCCAGGGCCTAAAGGGGCTCCAGGAGAGCTGGAGAGGAACTGGGGACAAGGGATGGAGGGACAGCACATAGGGAATGGCTTCAAAGTGAAATATGGGAGCTTTAGATGGGATCTTGGGAAGGAATTCCTGGCTGGGAGGGCAGTGAAGGACTGAGATGGAATTCCCAGAGAAGCTGTGGCTGCCCTGCATCCCTAGAAGTGTCCAAGGCCAGTTTGGATGGAGCTCAGAGCAACCTGGGATAGTGGAAAGTTTCCTTGCCCATGGCAGGGGGTTGGAACTGGATGGTCTTTAAGATCCATTATATTGTATTTTCTATCTATTTCTAGGATATAAACATACAGGGAATAGGATTTTTTTTCCTCCTTTCCCAATTGTTTTCTCTTTCCTCTTCTCCAAAGCCCAGCTGGACAAGGAGCAGTTGTTCAGCTTTGCCACTTAGTGAACTGATATTCCTAAAGCTTGGGCATTAAGGAGAGGGAAAATAAACAACTACTGACCACTCTGGAATCTTTTCTAACCCAGAAACCAAAGCCCAGGTGCTCCAGGGTGGGAATCCTGCATCCCAAAACACAAGGACAAGGGGAAAGTTTGGAGAGAGAGGATGAAGGGACATCCCAGAGCAAAATGTGGCATTTTCAAGGAGTGATCCCGGACAGGCCAAAGCCAGACTTTGCATCCCAAGGAAACACCAACCTGCCTCAGCTCCATGAACTCCTTGATTTCTTTCTCAAACAGGACACCTTCCTCTCCATAGTGTTCACTGATGAAATCCTGGATGGAAAAAATAAACACAGGAGAAAACCCCAAGTGACCCCTCAAAACAGATTTTTATGATTAAAGGGGGATTTTGGATAATTCTGGACAAGCAATTTGCCAGCTCTGCCCACAAAGAAACAGGGAAAACCATCTCCTCCTTCTTTCCAGATAATCTCCAGCATTTCCAGACCCTCATCTCCCACTTTCCCATGTTTTAAGTTTGGTTCTTCCCAAGAATTTATTCTTATTGCAGTTGTTCCAAACTAGGAAATGCCTTTTTTTTTTTTTTTCCAGCTGCTTCAGCATCTTCCATCCATCCAGAGCACAAAACTCACCTTCAGGGGGACCAGCAAATCCAGCTCCTTGGTCTCCTTCAATCCCAAAGGGATCATGGGGACACTGATGGACTCACTGGAAAAGACAACAACTTATTTGGGGTTTGGTCCCCAAGTCTTGGAGGGATCCTGCGTGACAGGGACTAAAATGAAGCAGCTCTTTGCTCCTAAGAAAGAGTTAAAAATAGCCCTGGCACAGCACAAGGACGCTCTTCCCAAAATAATTTGGGAATGGCAGTGCAAAGAGAACCTGAAAACATCGCTCTTATTCCTCTACCTTCTGCTTTTCATGGAATTTTTGGGGTTGGAAGGGACCTGAAAGATCATCCAGTTCCACCCCCTGCCACGGGCAAGGACATGTCCCACTATCCCAGGTTGCTCCAAGCCCTGTCCAACCTGGCCTTGGATACTTCCAGGAATGGGGCAGCCACAGATTCTCTGGGAATTCTCTTCCAGCACCTCCCCACCCTCATGGATTTAACAGCTATTCTGATTTTCTGCTGCCAAGAAGGATAAAAAGGGTCTGGATTAGAGCCTGGAGCAGACAGGAATTCCAGCCCTGCAAAGAGCCCCAGAGCTGGATCCATCACGGAATTCCTCTACACAGAGCCAGGGAATGGGAACCTGCTGTGGCACCTGCAGCTCCACAGATTCACTCCCTGATTTCCATCAGGGATGTCCCACACATCCTTGGACACCTGGACTCCCAAGGGATGGGTTTAGGGACAAGAAAGTTTGGCAGACAGTGGGATGGGAGGTGGGACAGGCAGGATCCCACCACACCTCCCCCTCATTCCCTCCAAAATTAACCTGATGACTCATTATCCCATCACTCATTAGCGAGGAAAAGAGGCACAGGAAGCTATAAAATCCAGGGGGAGCAGGGCAGGGAATTTTTCCCCCACATTTCCAGCCGTTTTATCCCGAACAAACAGCTCCAAGAGCCATAATTAGGGCAGCAAACCCATCACTGCTCGTTCCCTAACGAGATTTCCACTCGGATCCAACGCCTGGAGCAAACAAAGGGACTTCTGTTTGTCCTGGGCAGGAGTTTGGGATTGGTGCTGTCCTTGTTTTCTTCTTAAACCAGGGCAAACAAGGCTAGGAAAGCCAAAAATCCCTGACAGGGAATGTTGGGGAGGATACATGAATCCCTGTTTTCGGGCAGAAGAAGAAGGATCAGCATCCAGGAATAAATTCAGACTCCAAAAGAACCCTCTGAGTGCAGGAAACACCTGGAGATGGTGGAGATTTGGGTTTCCTTGGGTTTTTCTCCATAGGAGACCTGTGATCCTAAAAAAAAATCCAGCACCCATGACGTCATCCCAGTCCTACTGGGATTCCATCACCCCCTGGAGTCACTGGTGCTCTCCTGGTCTTTGCATCCCTGTTCCCAGAAGCGCAGGAATTCTTCCCATGTGCCAGGAAAAGCAGGATGGGCACACAAATGTAGAATTATGGAATTGTTTGGGTTGGAGGGACCCAAAAGATCGTGGAATTCCAACCTCCTGCCGTGGGCAGAGACACCTCCCATGATCCCACGTTGCTCCAACCTGCCCTTGGACACTTCTACAGCTTCTCTGGGAATTCCATCCCACCACCTGCCCCACCCTCCCAGGGAAAAATTCCTTCTCAATCTCCCCAAAATTAAAACCTGAGGATAAAAATAAATTCCCGAAGGATCCAGGAGCTCTTCCCACCCGTCCCCAGGGATGCACCTGTCGTTCTGATAGACGTCCACGCTGCTGTTGAGCTCCTCCAGCTCCTCCTTCAGCAGCTGCAGGTTGGAGTTGACGTAGCTCAGCTCCAGGGCGACAGTCTCCTTCACCTTGTGGTTGCTGGTGGCCCTGCAAGGCAAATTCCTTGGGATCAAACCTCATGCAGGTTGTTATTTATCCGTGTCTGGTTGCTTTGGTCGGTAGGGATGGAGGGGATGAGGTGGATCCATCCAGATGTCTCCTGTACAACTGGAAAGGCGGAAGGTTCTTCATGTGATCGTGGAAGGGTTTGGGTGGGGAGGGACCTGAAAGATCCTGGAATTCCAACCCCCTGTCGTGGGCAGGGACACCTCCTGCTAGCCCAGGTTGATCCAATCTGGTCTTGGATGCTTCCAGGGATGGGTCACCCACAGCTTTGCTGGGAATTGCATTCCAGTCCCTCACCACCCTCCCAGTCAGGAATTCCTTCCCAATATCCCATCTATCCCTGCCCTCTGTCCCTTTACAGCCATTCCCTGTGTCCTGTCCCTCCATCCCTTGTCCCCAGTCCCTCTCCAGCTCTCCTGGAGCCCCTTTAGACACTGGAAGGGGCTCCAAGATCTCCCTGGATCCTTCCCTTCTCCAGGCTGAACATTCCCAGCTCTCCCAGCCTTTCAGGACCAGGCAATCCTTCCTCTTCCAGAACATCCCAGACCACTTGGCTGCAACCAAAACTCCTTCCACTGTTGCATCCATCTATTCCTATCCCAGAGAAACCTTCCCTTTTCCCATCCCTGCTCCCACTTCCAGTGCAGCTCCCAGATTTGCCTGTGAGCACATTCCAGGTGCTCCCCCACCCCAAATAAATCTACTTCCAGGTTGGATTGGAGGTGGAAAAAGCTCATTTTTGGCTGCCAGAGAAGGGACTCCCTGAGCTCACCCGGGAGGGCCAGACCTTCCCGACCTTCCCCGCTCCAAGAATCCAGAATTGGAGACCCCAGGGATTGATTTCAGCCGCCTCTTCCCAGCAGGACGAGCTCCCAGGCTGATGAAAACCTTCCTGATCTGCTCCCAAGGAAAGCAGGGAGAGAGAATCCCGAGCTCCCAGTGCTCTGGAAGAGGCTCCTGCTGCCAAAAACATCCCAGGGATTGGGTTTTTTTCCAGGGAAAACACCTCGTGCACGGGCTCTGCTTGGCCAGGGAACCTCTTCCCTCTGGATTTTCCAGGCCACATTTCCTTGGATTTTAGGGTTTTTTTTTTGTGGATTGGATCTTTAAGGGAGTGTTTTGCTTTTAAAACCTGGTTTTAGTGTCTCCTCCTTCCCCCTTCCCTGGCTGGGGTTTCCCAGCTGGATGAAATTTGGTTTATTCCCAACAAACGAAGCCAAAACCACGGCAGGGCCAAAGAATTCCCAGGGGCTGCTTCCCTTGAAACATCCCTCGGAATTCCTTGTGCAGAATCAGCACTATCCATCCATCCAAACCACTATTTAATCCCTATAAACCAGGATTTAATCCCTATAAATCAATTCCTATAAACCAGTATTTGGTAAGCCAGTTTCAGTCCCCATAAACCCAGCCTATAACCAGTTTGGTCCCCATAAACCAGTTTTAGTCCTCATAAACTTTCCCCAGACTCAGTTTTAGTCCCTATAAACCAGTTTTTAGTCCCCATAAACCAGTTTTTAGTCATCATAAACCAGTTTTTAGTCCCCATAAACCAGTTTTAGTCCCCATAAACCAGTCCCTTTAAACCAGTATTTAGTCCCCATAAACCAATCCCTATAAACCAATTTTTAGACCCTATAAACCAGCTTTTAGTCCCTTTAAACCAGCTTTTAGTCCCCATAAACCAGTATTTAGTCCCTATAAACCAGTTTTTAGTCCCCATAAACCAGTTTTTAGTCAACCAGTTTTAGTGACTATGAACCAGTTTTAGTCCCCATAAACCAGTTTTTAGTCCCCATAAACCAGTTTTAGTCCCCATAAACCAGTTTTAGTCCCCATAAACCAGGTTTTAGTCCCCATAAACCAGTTTTTAGTCCCCATAAACCAGTTTTCAGTCCCCATAAACCAGTTTTTAGTCCCCATAAACCAGTTTTCAGTCCCCATAAACCAGGTTTTAGTCCCCATAAACCAGGTTTCAGTCCCCATAAACCAATCCCTATAAACCAATCCCTATAAACCAGCTTTTAGTCCCCATAAACCAATCCCTATAAACCAGTTTTTAGTCCCCATAAACCAGTTTTTAGTCCCCATACACCAGTTTTTAGTCCCCATAAACCAGTTTTTAGTCCCCATAAACCAGTTTTTAGTCATCATAAACCAGTTTTTAGTCCCCATAAACCAGGTTTTAGTCCCCATAAACCAGGTTTTAGTCCCTATAAACCAGGTTTTAGCCCCTATAAACCAGTTTTTAGTCAACCAGTTTTCAGTCCCCATAAACCAGGTTTTAGTCCCCATAAACCAGTTTTTAGTCCCTATAAACCAGGTTTTAGTCCCCATAAACCAGGTTTTAGTCCCTATAAACCAGTATTTAGTAAGCCAGTTTTAGTGACTATGAACCAGTTTTAGTCCCCATAAACCAGTTTTCAGTCCCCATAAACCAATCCCTATAAATCAGTTTTAGTCCCTATAAACCAGTATTTAAACCTTATAAACCAGATTTAGTCTCTATAAACCAGTTTTTAGCCCCTATAAACCAGTCCCTATAACCCAATCCCTATAAACCACTTTTTTGTCCCTATAAACCAGGTTTGGTGTCCCTTGGGATACAAAGTCTGGCTTTGGCCTGTCAGGGATCACTCCTTGAAAATGCCACATTTTGCTCTGGGATGTCCCTTCATCCTCTCTCTCCAAACTTTCCCCTCGTCCTTGTGTTTTGGGATGCAGGATTCCCACCCTGGAGCACCTGGGCTTTGGTTTCTGGGTTAGAAAAGATTCCAGAGTGGTCAGTAGTTGTTTATTTTCCCTCTCCTTAATGCCCAGCTTTAGGAATATCAGTTCACTAAGTGGCAAAGCTGAACAGCTGCTCCTTGTCCAGCTGGGCTTTGGAGAAGAGGAAATAGAAAACAATTGGGAAAGGAGGAAAAAAAGTCCTATTCCCTGTATTTTTAGATCCTAGAAATAGAGTAGAAAATACAATATAATGGATCTTAAAGACCTATCCAGACCCTTCTTCCAACCCCCTGCCATGGGCAGGGACACCTTCCACTATCCCAGGTTGCTCTGAGCTCCATCCAACCTGGCCTTGGACACTTCCAGGCTTCTCTGGGAATTCTAACACCTCCTCACCCTCCCAGCCAGGAATTCCTTCCCAATATCCCATCTAAAGCTCCCATATTTCACTTCAAAGCCATTCCCTGTGTCCTGTCCCTCCATCCCTTGTCCAAATTCCCTCTCCAGCTCTCCTGGAGCCCCTTTAGGCCCTGCAAGGGGCTTCAAGGTCTTCCCTGGAGCCTTCTCTTCTCCAGGTGAACATTCCCAGCTCTCCCAGCCTGGCTCCAGCCCTTGGAGCATCTCCATGGGCTCCTCTGGACTCCCTAATTAAGAGCAAGGACTTGCAGAGGGGAAATTTAGGGGAATATTCCACCCTTTCCCTGAGGAATCCTGCACAGAGCCCTTTCCTGTAGCAGCTCCCACCCCATTCCAGAGCCCTCCATGTCTCCAGCACTTCCCTCCCTCCAATCATCAGCCCTTTCCCAACACCAAACAAACATTCCTGATTTATTGGATTCCTTTCCAACCACCTGTTTTATCATCCTTGATCTCCCCCCCTCGCTCCAGGATTTGAACAGGAAAGGAAAAGGTTTCCTCGGCCTCTTCCCATTTATTTTCCCAGTAAACAAACCCCACAGGGATTTTTCCCACCACTCCATCCACGGAAAATTCCCCAAATTCTGTTCCACAGAACTGTCAGAGCATTTTTTTCAAGCATTTTGCTGTTTTTTAATTAATTTTAAAGATGAAGAAAGTACCAAGTCCAATCACAAATTCTGAACAACCCACAGCATTTTTCCCACTTCCATCTAGGACTTTCCTAAAGAGATCCAATGGAATTTTATCCATGGAAAACAAGTTTATAGTTATTAAGCAATCACCTCTAGATTTACAACACAATCCCCCCGCTCCTCCTCAGCCTTTAATTCACCCACAAATTGGATTATTATTTCCCCCTCAGATTTCCAGGTTTCCTAAACTCAGGCAGTGCCTCTTCCCATTTATTCCCTCGGCAAACAAACCCCACAGGGATTTTTCCCACCACCCCATCCATGGAAAATTCCCCAAATTCTGTTCCACACAACAATCAGAGCATTTTTTTCAAGCATTTTGCTGGGTTTTAATTAAAGACAAACCACCAAGTCCAACCACAAATTCTGAACACCCCACTGCATTTTTCCCCACTTCCATTCAGGACTTTCCTAGAGATCCAATGGAATTTTATCCATGGAAAACAAGTTTATAGTTATTAAGCAATCACCTCTAGATTTATAAAACAATCCCCTCCTCCTCCTCAGCCTTTAATTCACCCACAAACTGGATTATTTATTTCAACCCTCTTCAGATTTCAAGTCCAGGATTTTTCCTAACACCTCCAGGCATGTTGCCCACTATCAGGATTCCCATTCTAGTTCCACTCAGCAACAAACTCCGCACAGTGGATTTTTCCCACTTCACAGACCACTCCATGACTCCATGGAAAATTCAATCTGGGATTTTATAGCCACTTCAGCCATAAAACAATCCCCCACCTTCCTAGTTCCATACAACAATCAGACCATTATTTTTCAAACAGTTTCTGCTAGCTCTCCTTAATTTAAAACAAACCCCACAGATTCAGCCTCTATTCTGTAACAACCCCTCAGATTTCCAGGTTTCCTAAACTCAGGCAGTGCCTCTTCCCATTTATTCCCTCGGCAAACAAACCCCACAGGGATTTTTCCCACCATTCCATCCATGGAAAATTCCCAAATTCTGTTCCACAGAACAGTCAGAGCATTTTTTCAAGCATTTTGCTGGGTTTTAATTAAAGATAAACCACCAAGTCCAGCCACAAATTCTGGACAACCCACTGCATTTTTCCCACTTCCATCTAGGACTTTCCTAAAGAGATCCAATGGAATTTTATCCATGGAAAACAAGTTTATAATTATAAAGCAATCACCTCTAGATTTATAAAACAATCCCCCTCCTCCTCCTCAGCCTTTAATTCACCCACAAATTGGATTATTATTTCCCCCTCAGATTTCCAGGTTTCCTAAACTCGGAGCCTCTTCCCATTTATTTCCTCAGCAAACAAACCCCACAGGGATTTTTCCCACCACTCCATCCATGGAAAATTCCCCAAATTCTGTTCCACACAACAATCAGAGCATTTTTTTCAAGCATTTTGCTGGGTTTTAATTAAAGACAAACCACCAAGTCCAGCCACAAATTCTGGACAACCCACTGCATTTTTCCCACTTCCATCTAGGACTTTCCTAAAGAGACCCAAAGGAATTTTATCCATGGAAAACAAGTTTATAATTATAAAGCAATCACCTCTAGATTTATAACACAATCCCCCCCTCCTCCTCAGCCTTTAATTCACCCACAAATTGGATTATTTATTCCCACCCACTCCCAGATTTCCCAGCTTCCCTAAACTCGGAGCACCGGAATTCCCAGAAAACCACCTTGTTACTCAGCTGCAAAGTGGATTTGTGGGAGGGAGGGAGGGAGGAGAAAGTGGCTGCTCCAAAGGACATCAAACTGCTGAGGCAGCAAGAAAAAAATGCCTCCTCAGTGCATTTCCCTGCCTGGGTAATTAAGATTTGGTTTGTGGGAAGTCATTCTTATTTTATTTAAGATTAAAAAAAAAAAAGGATATCAAAATATTGGGAAAATATGCCCAAATTAAAGGGCAGTTTAATGGTATTTTCTGATATTATTTCTTATATTCCAGCCCTGCCCAGCCTGGATATGTGATCCAATATATTCCAGAGAAATGAAATCGAGGCAAAGAGATGCTAAAAAAGGTCATTTTTGGTTTAAAAAAATATATAAAATAGCTGCAAAAAATCGTGTGATTGTCCCAAAAACATTCCAAAGGGAATGACGTCAATGAATTGGATCCTGTGGGGGTGGAACAGCTGAAATCCACCAGCCTGGGAAGGTGACAGTGGTGGCACCACCCCAGGAATGCACCTTCCAGAGGATCCTGGAGTGGGTTGGGTTGGAAGGGACCTTCAAGATCCTCTGGAGAAGAGAATTCCCAGAGAAGCTGAGGCTGCCCCATCCCTGGAATATTCAAGGCCGGGTTGGAGCAACCTGGGATAGTGGGAAGTGTCCCTGCCCACGGCAGGGGGTGGAATGAGATGGTTTTGAAGGTCCCTTCCAACCCAAACCATTCCAGGATTCCATGGAAGATGCATTTCTGGGATGGTCTTTCCACGATGATGATCCATGAAGAAGGGAGAAGAGCCCCTTGGGCAAAAACATCCCTGGATTTGCATCCCTGGAAGTGCCAGGATGGGGATTTTTTGGGGAGGAAAAAACAGGTTTGGATGGGACATCAGGAAAAATTTCTGCCCTGAAAGGGACATCCAGCACTGGAAAAGGCTGGCCTTGGACACTTCCAGGGATCCAGGGGCAGCCATAGCTTCTCTGGGAATTCCATTCCACCACCTCCCCACCCTCCCAGCCAGGAATTCCTTCCCAAGATCCCATCTAAAGCTCCCATGTTTCACTTTGAAGCCATTCCCTGTGTGCTTGTCCCTCCATCCCTTGTCCCCAGTCCCTCTCCAGCTCTCCTGGAGCCCCTTTGGGTCCTGGAAGGAGCTCCAAGGTTTCCCTGGATCCTTCCCTTCTCCAGGTGAACATTCCCAGCCTGGCTCCAGCCCTTGGAGCATTTCCATGACCTCCTCTGGATTGAATCCAACACATCCCTGTCAGCCACTTGCTGGATTATCAAGCAGGACTTTTCCACTCCAAGCTCCATCCCAGTCCAACATCACTTCCCATCATCCCACCTGCCCACATCCCACTTCCTCACAACCTTCTGGGACTCCCAAATTGCAATTTTTTAATTAAAAGGCAGAACAGGAATTTCCAGGATAAATCCTTCGAGAGCTGAGCAAAAAAAAAAACCCCAACCACATCAAGACCACGTTCCCATGTCCAACCAGATTCCTGAGGGATGTCCAGGAGAGCAGGACTCACCTGAAGAGGTTTTCTGCTCCCGCCCTCATCCTCATCTCCTTGTTGATCTGCTGGTTGATCCGGGCCCGGCGATGTTGGAGTTTGCTCCGTTGGGTCTGGGCAAAGGGATCACAGCCCTGCTGGGAGACAAGGGCAGGATCTCACCAAAAAAACCTCCCCCCCACCCCACTCCCAGGTTTTGGGATGGGAAAAAAAAAAAAAAAGGGTACTTTTAGAAGCTTGGAATGGTTTGAGTTGGGTGGGTGCATGAACAAAGGGAGATCCTTGGGGTAGGGAAATAGGGAAGGGATGAATCCTGGGATGGGTTGGGTTGGAAGGGACCTGAAAGGTCAGCCAGTTCCAACCCCCTGCTGTGGGCAGGGACACCTTCCAATAATCCAGGGTGATCCAACCTGGCCTTGGACACTTCCAGGGATGGGGCAGCCACAGCTTCTCTGGGAATTCCATTCCAGCCTCTCCCCACCCTCCCAGGGAAGAATTCCTTCCCAATATCCCATCTAAATATATGAAGATCCTCTGGAACATCAAAAGAAGTTCCAGAGAGCCACATTTCACCCTCTTCCTTCCCTTGGAAAACCTGTTTCCCACTGTTTTCCTTCCACCAGTGCTGGTGGACCTCTTGGCACCACATCAAGGGGGGGTTTTGCTCCCCAGAGCTCCAACAATTCCCACTCTCATCCTGTCCAAAACACCTTCCCTGCCTTATTCCACGTAGAGATATCCAAGGACTTCACCAGGTCTCACCTCATCCTCCAGGATGGGTCCCAACAGTCCCAAATCCAAGAAGGAATTCCCAGAGAAGCCATGGCTGCCCCATCCCTGGAAATGTCCAAGGCCAGCTTGGAGCAACCTGGGCTACTGGAAGTTGTCCCTGCCCACGGCAAGGGCTTGGAATTCGATGGTTTTGAAGGTCCCTTCCCACCCAAACCATTCCATGATTCCATGGAACACCTGCTTACCCCTCCAGAAAACAGGGAAGGTCCTCGTGGGACCTGGGAAAAAAAAAAATCCCTTCTAACAAATGATTTTTCTTGGAAGTAGCAAAAGAGAAAGAAATCCAAAAAAGTAGGAGCCCAGCTTGGATTGGCAAGTAGGGCATGGAAAATGTTGTATTTTCATGGATTTCAGCTGCCTTAAAACTCATGCCTCATGTTTCAAGTCCACCAAGTGCTGCCTCCTTGGAAAAGGATCCAGGATTAACGTTGGGATTTTCAGTTCAGTGATGGATTCGAGCTCCTAATTGGTAAATTGGAGCCTGAGGAATCAGAGCCCCTCCATCTGCTCCATAAATCTGCAGGATTAGGGCTTTAAAGTAATCCAGGAATTTGATGAAATCATTCCAGGGATGAGCTGGAAACACGAGATCCCAATTATTCTGGAAAGCTGCACAAATCTTGGATCTGAAACACTCAGGAGCAAATACAGGAAAAGTCTGATCTGGAATTTAATTGTGGATTTGCCCTGGAGGAACCCACCCACCCAGCAAACCGGTGGAAAAACATCTAGAAATGAGGAAAAGGAGGAGGAATCCCACCCAGGAAGCCCAGAGAGGGATCATTCCAGGTTTTCTCCAGCTGGGACACCACTGGAAACAATCCCTGGAATAAAACCCAACCCAACCACGAAGGCAACACCCAAATTTGAGCCCCCAGAGACTCTCAAACAAAGATGACACCACAAAACTCTTGTCCAGAAAGAGCTGCTGGTGCAGATGGAGCCCAAGCTATGCACAGTTATTTGTTTAATTAATTAAAAGCTGATTAAAAACGTTGCAATTGATGACATTTTTTCCTACTTGAGACATTAACCCAGAACTGGAACTTAAAGCTCCCAAAGTTCAAGTTTTTAAAGCTTCCAAAGCTAAAATGTCAACGTTTCCAGACGAGATCCGTGTGAATTTGCCAGATCCAGAGCCCAGCAAGACAAACCCATGGGGAAATAGATCCCAAAAATATGCAAATGAGGCAGGTCAGAACCACAGAAATCCATCCAAAAACTCCACAGGCCCAGGAGTAACTCCTGGAGGTGGAAGCAACTCTTCCTGTGGGACATTTCACTACCTGAGACCTCTCCCCTCCTGGAAAAGGTTTGTTTGGAAGCAGCCAGAGGATTTTAAGGGTTTTTTTGTGGGGGGTGGAAATGAGGAGCAAAAACTCCTGGAAAACACGGGCAGGAAGCTGGAGAACTGCAGGGGAGAGAGGAGGGAAGAGGCACGAGGGGAAGAACTTCCCAAAAACACAGAGAAGGTCCATGGAACACCCTGTGTGGAGGAAAGGAAAGGGGGAATGAAGGGAAGGAGGGAGATGAAGGAGAGGAAAACACTGGGATGGCTCTCCAAGATATTCCAAGAGTGTCAAAGATGTCACTTTGAGAGCGATGAAGGGGTTTAGAAAGTTGATTTCTCCCTCTGGGAAACTCCTGTAGAGCTGGGAGGGGTTTTCTCCCTGTCTGGGCAGTGTCTTCTCCACCAGATTCCATGAGATTTATCAGATCCCATCCAGGCTCCTAATCCAACACCAAAATGTACTGGAAAATCGGGTATTGGAGCCCTTGGTGTGAAAGCAAACCCTGGGAGGATCTTGGGTCGGGATCTCAGCTCAGGATTTCTGGTGATCTTCTCACACCTCGTTTTCCTCAGCTTTTTTATGGAGCTGGAGAAGTGCAGCAGCTCCTGGGATTCCAGCACATCTGGATCTCAACAGGAATTCCCCAAACATCATCCCTGCCTGGCATGGATCAATAGAAACATCATTCCAAAGGCCACCACCAGGTAAAACCCAGCCCAGGCTGCAGCTGCTCCTGGAAATGAAAAAACCTCCCAGAAATTCCATGGATAGTGGAGAAATTCAGCTCCTCAATTAAATGCTCAGTCCAGGTGGAAGAAAACACCATCATAAGTGTAAAAATGTGATTTTTAAATCCAAATATAACTGGGGGAAGCTGAGGGTGAAGAAGGGACCACGTCCACCCTCCAACAGCTTCTCTTCCCAGGATCCCAAAAGCTTTTCCTGCCCAATTTGCAGCCAAAACCCACAGCAGGAGTTCCCAAATAAGCAGGGATGGATTTTAAACCAACTTACATAAGGGGATAGGGTGGGGGAAAAAAAAAAAACAACCCCACACAAACCCCACTTTTGGGTTATAAAAGGGATTTTCCTTCCTTAATTCCTCTCGGTGCGGGAAGAATCCAGGTTGAGGTGAACCCTGGAAGGTCAGGAGAAAGAGGGGTCCTTTCAACCAGGCTTTGGGGTGCACCTGGGGCCAGGCAGGAGAGTGATTTTGGGGGGTTTGAAGAAGGGGCCACGTCGAAAATGAGACTTTTCCTGGGTGGTTTGAAAGGAAAAGAGAGGAGAGGACTCTCCCATAAATTGTGTGGGAGAAGGGGAAGAGCACGGAGGGGAGGGGGTAAATTAAGGAAGCCACGAGGAGGAAGGAGGGGTGGGGTCAACCAAGGCGTGGAGTTCATCCCCTCTGACACAGCAGGACTTGCTGAGCTGGGAAGGGACTCCCAGGATCATCCCATCCCATGGTTTTGTTGGAATAAAGCCCAGAAACCACCAGCAAAACCCTGCTGAGTCGGACCCCTCAGCATGGAAGGGTGGCAGGAAAACCCAAAACTCCTCAGCCAAGGTTTCCATGAGGGGAAAAAATAAAAAAAAGAGGCCAGAAGAGCCTTTCCAAAAAAGGCCAAGATGAATAAAACCCCTTTGAAGGTCATCAAGGGTTCTGCCAACTCAACCCCTTATCACCTGGAATGACTAAGGAGGTTGCTCAGCTCAGGAGGACCCACCTGGGCTGTTAAACTGGGCAATTCCCGCTGGGATCTGGTTCTGGAAGCAAATCCCCAGGGAGATGTTTGCTCAGAGTGGCCTTTGCACTCCCCCACCTCCAACGAGCCCTGGGAGATGGAGCCTGGATTGCTCTGGGATGACAGGACACACCTGGAAAGAGTCATCCGTGCCCAAACCAGGCCTCCCCTCCCAGCTTTTCCAGGACAAACTGGATCACCTGGAGCAGGGGGTGGAGGCCAACAAGTCCAAAGGGTAAATCCAAGCACAAAGGGACTCTTTTGTTTCCAGGAGAGGAGAGATAAGTGGAAGCAACAGGAGGAAAAGAGAAACTGGAAGGGATTAAGGGATCAAAGGAGGGAAAACACAATCCTTGGATGTGCTGCTGGAGTTGTAAGGAAGAGGGAAAGGGAGCTGCCTGAGGTGCTGCTGGATCCTCGTCCAGAGGATCAGGAATATGCTGGGAAAAGGGCCAGAAGGATCTCTCCAGAGAAATGGGGAAGGAGTTGGAAGCTGGGAATGAAGTGGCAGCCCTGAGACTGCAGGGAAAGCTCCTGGAGGTACTGGGAGAGCATGGACCAAGCTGGGCCATCTCCAAGAGCAGCTTCAGCCACCCCCAGGATTCCTGCCAGTCAGAGAATTCCCACAGAGGAGCTAAGGGAGGTTAATTTGCACTGGAGGCATCCATAAAATCCATAAAATGGGTGAGGAGTCCTCACCCGGTGCTGCCCCAAACTCCACCTCCATGGAAACAACCCTCACATTCCCAAGGGCTGGGAAGCTGAGGGAGAAAGGGGAGCAGGACACCAGCCAGGCTGGATCCCAGATATCTGGAGAGCCTTCGTGCCAGGCAGTGGGATAGAGAAGGGGTGAATTCTGGAATGGTTTGGGAGAAGGGACCTGGAAGATCATCCAGTTCCACCCCCTGCCGTGGGCAGGGACACCTCCCACTAGCCCAGGTTGCTCCAATCTGGCCTTGGACACTTCCAGGGATGGGGCAGCCACAGCTTCTTTGGGAATTCCATTCCAGTCCCACCCTCCCAGCCAACAATTCCTTCCCAATATCCCATCTAAAGCTCCCATATTTCACTTTGAAGCCATTCCCTGTGTCCTGTCCCTCCATCCCTTGTCCCCAGTCCCTCTCCAGCTCTCCTGGAGCCCCTTTAGACACTGGAAGTGGCTCTCAGGTCTCCCTGGATCCTTCCCTTCTCCAGGTGAACATTCCCAGCTCTCCCAGCCTGGCTCCAGAGCTGAGGTTCTCCAGCATCTCCGTGACCTCCAACAAGTCCCCATCCCTCTGCTATCGAGGAATTCCAAGCTGGACCAAGATC